ACATGTTATCATTTTTTTTCCCTAATCCGATCCCTTACTAAACCCTGATGACTGTACGCCCCAATTGTACCTGGATTCCAGTCCTTCCTCTCCATGACAACAAATATAAATCTAGATTAGGGCTCATCACCTCTTACCTGAAGTCTATCAATAGCCTACTCACTGATTTTCCTTTCTCAGTTTCACTCCCTTTACTTCATCTTCTATTCTTAGGTCAGAGGCTTTTTCTAAATTACATACAAGGTAATTCGATTCCCCAGCATCAAACTTTTCAAATTCTCTGCCTCCAAATTACCATGAGATTCTTCTTTTTTCCTTCCTCTCCCTTCCCCTCTTCTCCCCTCCCCTCCCCTCTGCTCTCTTCCCTCCCCTCTTTCCCTCCCTTCCCTTCCTTTTATCCCTTCTTCCCTCCTTCTCTTCCTCCCTCCCTTCCTTCCTTCCAGTGGTATTTGTTGGGAAAATCCCACCTCATAAATTTCACATTAAAACACTAGTAAGCACAGCAACTTCAGCAGAGGCAGAGGGGGAGAATACATCTAGCACTTGCTTGCACCCTGCTCCCTGATTCATTGCCCACCTCTAATCCAAGCAGTTTGTGGAAAATAGTTTGACATGTAACCAGCCTGTAGAATCAAGTTCAGCTTTCTCACCCGGCAAAAGAGTCCAGGTTTAATTCACCAGTCTCCTCAGTGAGGGATTAGCCCAAGGTACAAAGGCAGTTCAGCCAAGTGGGCCTCCCAAGGCACAGGGCTGAACTGATACTAGTGGAGAGAGTATGAGAGGAGTCTAGATGGGGAATGATCAGCACGACCAGCTGCCATTCCACTTTTTGATCCAATGGACCTTTTGCAATTACCTGAAAGAAATATTCATGCTCACACCTTAGACTTTTCACAAACTGGATTGTTTTTTCAACCCAATACCACAGAAATTATGTCCCTGTGTGACCTCTCTGACCTCCTTTCCCTCCTTAAGGCTGTTTTAATCTGTATATCCTTTTTTATGCCTTCATGCTGAACTCTGTGATACGGCATATCACCAAGTACCAACATCACATTTTCATGCGTCTCTCCCACCAGACTTTAAGAACAGGGAACATGACCTATTCACATTTTGGTCATGACCACAGTGACTGGAACATAGTTGGTGCTCAATATCCACGTGTTCAACTGGACATAAGGCTTGATTTCACCAATAAACAGATGTACAGATGACATACAGGCACTGGCTAAATGGTGTGACTGAGACCATGAACTTAGGATATGATTACTGGCATTATAAAAAGATTTTATTAACAAGAACCAAATTAACAAATGACTATTCTCAAGACACAGCTACTGTATTGGAAAGAGACACCACTATCTTACCAATAAAATGGATTAACTAAATTTGGAGCTGCAATCTAATTTTGAAACCTGCATGGAATGAGATGATGAGTATGAGGGGAGGAAGAGAAGAGAAGAAATATATGGGCAGGATACAGGGCTTTCTGGCAACCATAAATAGTGCCCTCAGTAATCTGAGCTTTGGACCACGCAAATCAATGAATAACAGCTGACAGCTGATATATGGGCAATCACCATAGAAACAGCATAGTTCCCAGGATAGATCAAGACTTGACTGTGGCCAAATCAGTATATTATCATATCTTCAGAAAGAATACAGAACACCAAAGCAGAGGAGCTCCCTTACCATGAGCTCCCTTAACTTCTTATAAAGAGAAAGAAAACTGACAGAACAGTGCAATGCTCCCCAAGAGGAGAGACACTGAATCCAGAAAGCACCAACACCCTAGTTGCTAGAAAAGCATTTCTCTTTGAGGAGAGAAAAGCTTCATCAGACCTAATCTTAGCTCTCACAAAAAAAATTCGTCCTGATAATCTTTATTTCTTCACTTTATTTATTTTTCCCTCTTTTTATTCATTTGTTTAAGATATGGGTACGAAGATAGTCATTAAAACCATATACTTTGGAGTCAAAGAGTCTCAGGTCCCCATTCCAGTATTGTCCCTGATTAAAAAGAGAACTTGAGTGTGTAACCTTGGCAGCTGCTATCTTCCTAAATGCCTTAGTTCTTCTCACAGGTGGGCAGTACACCTGCCTTCCAACTCCTCCAGGGCTCTCTCTGATGGCTGGAGCCCGCTGTGCCTGCATGCAAACAGTGGGCCGGAAGGCTGGGGAATAATGCCCCTGAAACCTACGCTTAGCAGACCTCAACCAGTGACTGATGGAAGGTGGCACATAGGTACCCAGTCTCGCTTGCTCTTCTGATGGGGTAACTCTCATGTAAGTGCTCTGCACTGGTTGTTGGCGTTTCCCAAGGGCACTGAGTTCAGTTGCCCACAGTGGTATCTGACTGGAGGATGCAGCCTTTGTTGGCGGTTTTCCTTGTCCTGTCTCACTCCTCTACTCCCCAGCGGATGTTGCCTGAGATCATCTCTCAAACAAACCACTTGCACTTGAATCCTATTTTCAGAATTTGTTTCTGAGGAACCCAAGCTAAGAAAGTGACTTCATCTTTGCAGTTTTCATTTTCCTTTTTTGAAAATGCTGACCATGGTACATAAATGCAAATTGTGAAGATTATATAATACATGCAAAGTTCTTAGCCTGGTACCTGGTACATCTGAATGCTTTAAACATGTTATCTATAATTTGTATTCTTGTTAAGAGCTCAGTACATACTAGATATCCCAGATACCTTGTTAGGTGCTATAGAGAGGATGGTGAACCAGATGCTACCCATCTCTACCCACATGGAATTTACAGTCTTATGGAAAATAAAACTGAACTAAAATGCCACATAATAAATGCTACGGGGGTGGGGGGGGGGAGAGAGAGAGAGAGAGAGAGAGAGAGAGAGAGAGAGAGATGTGTAGTGCTGTAAGAGCACATAATAGAACTTAACCTGGTATGAGGGCCTCAGATAACATTTAATAAGAATCTGACATTTAAGGAATGATAGGAGTTGGTCAGGCAAAGTGTGTGTGTGTGTGTGTGTGTGTGTGTGTGTGTGTGTGTTTGTGTGTGCATACATATGTTTATAAATGTGTGTGCATGTACCTACACATTGTGTAGGTACGCAAATGCAATGCTATAGGTGAGGAAAACTGCATATCGAAAGACCTATCGATGTAAGAAACAAAAATAAAGGGAGAGTAAAAGGAAGTAGGAAGGAAAGGATAGAGAATAACTTCAAGAAACAGAAAAAGAGTGGCCTTTAATCTGATTCCATGTTGATCAATCACTGTGTTAGTTTCCAAGTTTTTTGCTTTTTGTTTTGCTTTTTGATATAGGGAAACCAGGCAGATGTCTCGTGAAAAAACACTGCCCTTTAGTCACTCAAAGAAGTATCTGTGCATTTTAGATGAACACACTGGTAGGTAGTCTGATCTCATTTGAATTTGTGTATTAATAGTTAGGTTATGATCAGGCAATTCCCTTGAGTTATGTCAATTCTAGGCCATTAACAAGGTAGAGTTTATGGAGCTATAAAGCTACGAATGGCAACCCACGGCTGGGCTCTTCCAGGCGATGTCTCCCATGAGTCTTCTGGTGAGCTCTCTATTTCCGGGGCAGTCCTACCTTGACAACGTGCCTAACTCTATACCAGCACACACATCTCTCCCTTCCCTTATTCTACAGTCTAGGTCCCTTTCTTGTAATGCCAGGAAATGTATATCCTCAGCAATTTAAGCAGCCAAGACCACTGCTGAATGCCTGAGTAATCTTCCTTACTCAGGTCCTGGGCCCTGGAGAAGTTATAAATCACATGGTTGTGGTGGAGGTGAATTAAATATTAGTTGATGCAGCTCTCTGAACATTTAGAAGGGAAAGTACTCACTAAATGCATCTTACTATTATTGCTTCTGTCTACAGACACTAGGTCATCAGAGATCCCTTACTTTTTAAATTTTTTTTTCTTTTAGGGGTTGTAATGAAACCTATCTGCTTGCAGGTATATGCTGGTAGTCTATCTTGGCTTAAATGTTGAGTAACTTCAAGAGACAATGACCACTGGAATTGCCACCACTCAGACATCATCAAGAAGACATATGTTTTATTCTTAATTGAGTGGTATGGATTATTTTTCTTTTCATTGTTACTGGAAAGGGGTATGAGTGGATTTTCCAGAATGGTGCAATAAAAATAAATTTTGATTGATTAATTCAATAGCTACGGCTAGGAAGCATCTTGTGCAACAGTGGAGAGGAAATGCACAATGCCCTACAGATAGGAGCTGCATAACTCACATTTGTTAGAGAGAGAGAGACTCCTGAGCTAGATTCTGGCTTCTTGGAGAACAGCTCACTCTTGGAAAATAAGTCAAGTTAAATGGCTTATTTTCCTCATGAGCTTCATCTAGTCAGTTATAACTGAGACATTCGAGTATAGATGGCAAATCATATTATAAAGCTGTTTAACAAGTCGCCATTCATTTTTGCCATGGTTCTTATGGCAGAAAACACTTAGCATTGCCTGTGGGTGGGATTCAGAGTAGTCCTGACCCCACATAGAGGCCTGCTGAAGGGGTCTGTGGCTGATTCTACGCGGTAGGGAATTTCGATTGGGGTCATAGAACTCATGACTTCATATGAGAAATTCTGCAGGTGCACATTTTTCTGGGGAAAGTGACATACTATTTCTGCAAGATGTCTATGAATTCCAATAAGCAAAGAAACACTGTGGTGAAAACTAAACTCATGGACAAGTGGCATTGGAAGTTACGTTATGTTTCTAATATATCTGTGACGTTATGTTTCTAATGTATCTGTGAGTCTAACAACCATTTGGCCTGAGATTTTGTTTTCCTAGAGATGCCCTCTAAAGCTTTGATCAGATTTCCAAAACCTATTAAAGTTGCTGATTTAAAAGGAAGTCTGCATGATCACATTAAAGATAGTATGGATCCCTAGTGTCTTCTTTTCTGGTTTCCCACAACACTTTGCACATATGTTAACATGCATATATCTCTTTTAAATGCCTGCTTTCTGATTAATATTGGACTTCTTTGGAAGCAGACACTCAGTGTTTTTCAACATTACACTCCTAGATGTTAGAGTCAGGTATATTGTTGATAAAAGGGCTCCTCGCATGGTGAGAATTGCATCACCAAGGCTCCAAAGAGGTCAATGCAGGGCTCTGTGTTAGTTATGATGCTTTTAATTTTGAACAACAGCTACATTGCTAGTTTAAATCAAAGAGGAAAATTTACTATTTATCAGTGGTGGAGAAGGAAGAATTAGAGCTGGCTTCAGAAAAGATGGGATGCAGAGGAGACTGAACCAGCATCAAGACCTTCTCATCATCTGTCTTCTCTGCTTCTCTTTCCGTATTAGATCAGTGTGTTCTCAGTGCAAATCGATTTTTCTCCCTTTCGCGGTGAACACAGTGAACCTCCACGTTCAGTGCTTCACATTCATTACTTCCTCTAAATTGGAAGCAACTTTTTGGAATAAGCAGACTAAATATGCTTCTTTCATATTACAACTGATGAAATGAAATCAAGGGTGCCAACTAATTTGAATAATATCACACATCTAGAAAGCAGTGGAGCTATAAATAAACCTTTCAAAATGTGTGCCTAAGTATGGAAAAGACTGAACTTTGGTATTATTTACACTCTTATTTAAATACACTGTTTTTTTTTGTTTGTTTGTTTGTCTGTTTGTTTTTAGGTAACCTTGTCTTTCTGAGTTTTGGTCTTTCTAGCTAATAAATAAAGAGGGGAGAATGACATCAACCCCTTAGGGTTGACCAGAGTTAATTATATAGATCAGATATATAGATATAGACATAAATACACATATAGATAGACATACATACATACATATATATAGACTATCTATATATATCTATATAATTACGTGCAGACTAAATTTTCTGTGTGTCTGAGCATGTGCACATGAGTAAAATTACATCTTCAAAAATTCCTGGCACATAGTAGGTTGTCAATAAATATTGACAAAGTCAAGTATATGACTCATCTACCAAGTGTATAAAACATGATATAAAATGAAATTCATGGAAAACCCTCCCTGCAGCTTAATTTCTATTTGCCAACATTTATTTTTTCTTCTCCATCACACTTTCATCTGCTTATTTTATTGTAGCTTGTTGTGTTGTATCTGGCACACTATTCCAAATACAAACATACATTCTTGGAAGTATCTTCAGATTCTTTTATTCATTCAAAACTATTTGTTGAGTTCCCTACTTTATGCCAGACACCATTCTGATCCCTGGAGGATACAACTGTAAATGAGATAGATGAGGTCTCTGCCCTCATGTAGTTTACATTCTGTTAGAGACAGAGGCTACAAATTGGAAACTACATAAATTTTTAATGAAATCCCAAGGTGAAAAGACATACACTGTGAAGAAAACAGAAAGCAGCAAAGGGATAGAGAATGCAGAGAAGGTAGAATTTTGGATAAGGCCTCAGAGTAATCTTCTCTAAGAAACTTCTCTGTCTGAATAAAATCTTGAAGAATAGTCTGGACCATGGAGTAATACGATACACAGAGATATCTGGCAGAGGACACAGCTAGTGCAAAAGGTCTGAAGTGGGAACTAGTTTGGTTTTCTTTACGATCAAGAAAAATGGAGTAAATAAGGGAAGATGGTAGGAGATGAAGTTAGAAAGGTGGCTGGGGTAAGATCATGAGGGAGCCTTCAGGTCATGGTACAAGTACATGAAACCTTCTCCATGCACTGGGCAGCCATGGGACATGTAAGCCAGCATCCTGAACTGATTTTCTGGGTGATGGGTACACTGCAGTGACTCACGGTGGAAAAAGAGACATCGATTTTGAAAAGATATTGATAGTTTGGGCAGGGAATTCTGGAAGAAGTAAGAATTGATCAGATTTAGAAATTACTGTGAAGGTATTTTCTGACAGGGTTTGATGATGAAAAAGAAGAGAGCATAAGGATTATTTAAGCTTTAAAGCAAGCTTGTCCAACTTGTAGCCCAGGATGGCTTTGAATGCATCCCAACATAAATTCATAAACTTTCTTAAAACATGAGATTCTTTGTCATTTTCTTATTTTTAGCTCATCAGCTATTGTTAGTGTTAATGTATATTATGTGTGGCCCAAGACAATTCTTCTTCTTTCAATTGTGGCCCAGGGAAGCCAATACTTTGGACACCCTACTTCAAAGGAAAAGACATAGACCTTTAAAAGTCTGTTTCAGCAATAGCCAGCATTTCCTGAGCAGTCTATCAGGCCCTGTCCTGCATGCTTTACACTTATCATGTAATTTAACACAGATCTCTCACCTATTAATTTTTTATACTGTTTGTTTTGTTTTTTTATCTCTGACTGTCTGTTTCTGTGGATATTATTGGCTTTGTTTCCCATTTCCTATGCTGGGCGCAACACTTAAAACTAATGGCAAATCAAACTTAAAAACTTCAATCTCTTCCATTTTCCAGGGGAGGGCTTCCCTACACTCTCCTACTGGTTCTTTGCTCTAGTATCCTCCAAATCATCACTCTGCCCTTTCAAGTCTTGGCCTGCCTAATCATGCCACCCCATACCCTCAGGACAGGAGATTAGCACCGCTATTCCTGGCATTCCTATTCTTCAGCATCATGTATTTAATTATTTTGTGTTTATTTGTTACGCATGAAGGACCAGGCAAAACAATGTGTACTCCCAGAAAAACTTAAAGCATGAGAGTTTTCTAATGAGGTCTCAAATGGATGCTATGAAAATAAGAGAAGCTTCAGTAAGTCCAGCTCTCGAGAAAGAATCAGATGAACTCACTGAATGATTTTCTAGGCCTGGTATTCACACAATTAAGTGCTTTCCTTGTCACGTTTATTGATAAAAGTGAGAGTAAATCTCTGAACCCACATTTGCTTTTGCCATAACATGACGTCATGGTTAGTCTACAGGATGGCAGGCACTGAACATTCAGTTTAAGAAAAACAGCCATTTTCAAAATCAATTAGATCAATCTTTACCTAGGCATAATACAGTTTTATTCCTTCAAGTCAAAGCTTTACTATTTGATGTTTTGGTAATTTTAATTATGAATAATAAAATTAATAGGAAAATCCTCAACTAGGTTTTAGGCAATGCTTCATAATGAATAAGTGCAGACATAAACTAAAGAAAGAATGAAAGCCACTAATAATTCCTGGAACTTGCCCTTGTCTTTCCTTGTATAGCCGGCTGGCATTGAAGAAATGTATCTACTTGATGATGTACCCTGGAGCTGAAAGACTGGCAGCCAATCCATTAGGCTCTGGACACTATCATGTTCTATCCACCAACTCACATGTGGGACCTACTACTTGGGAGTCAAGGGTAGGCAAAGTTCTGAGGCCAGCAAGGAAGAGGAATATATGTATGCTGTTTCATAGCTGTGCTTATTTTAAAATGACATTCCACTAGCCGGGCTGAGCTTGGTTTTGTTCCTGACACTATAACATGTAAGTTATTTCACCAGCCGAGACCTCAATTTCACCATTTCTAGCATCAGTAGGCTATACATAATGGCCTCTCAAGTTCTTTTAAGATGTGATTTTCTCAGAATCTAGCTGTTCTTCAAGAAATTATTTCAAAGGCAGCAAAGTGAAAGATAAACTGATGAACATTTGGGCCCAAATCAAATCTCTTATAATGAAGTCCCAGGTTAAAAAATAAAAAAGACAATTAGAAGAGCAAATAAAAATTGTTATCAATTCAGTGACACAAAGACATATGCATTCACAGCTGGGCAGGATAAAAACACCTACTCCTTTAACTTCTAATCTTCCCAATCTAATAACAGATAATCTAGTTTTGAAAGTTACAGAAGAAACAGAAAATGAGAACAGACCAATAACTGAGGAATAATCATAGAAAGCTCTTAAAGAACTGCCTGCCCCAAAGACATTAGATCTTAAGAGATTTAACAGTGATTAAATTCAAGCATTCAAGAAATACATAAATATATTCATTATAATATATTCTGAAGAGTAGAAGATGGGAAAACTATCCAATTTGTTTCACAAGAAAGATTTGATCCAGATCCTCAAGGTGATAAAATATTTTGCAAAAAAGAAAGTAAAACTAATAAACTACGAATATAGATTCAAAACCTTCAACCAACTACTTCAGATTAGAGCTTAACGAGCTAATATTACTGATTCAATAATCCAACAGGAATATAACCAGTTTCAATATAAGGAAATTGAATAATGCAATAAAAGTTTATCAGCAGGCTAGTAATAAAAAAGTAGATGATTATTTCAATATTCCCTAAATGCATTTGATAAAATTTAATAATTTTCATTTTTCAAGTTGGAATAAAATAATTCTTTCCTAATATGATGAATATTCCTATTCTAAACCTCCAACCAAATGACTTTTTATTAGGGAACACCAGATACAGATCTGTAAATTAGGGATAAAACAAGTTTGCCTACTCTGCCTTCCATTGTTTAACATCATTTAAGTAGGTCTAGCTGGTGCAATAAGGCAGAGAAAAAAATAAAATTAATACATATTGAAAATTTTTAAATCATAGATTCATAAGACTAATCTTAAGTCTGAAATCCAAAATATTTTGAAAGCTGAATGTGTTGCACCACTCATTCAGTGCAAAAACGGATCTGAATGTGAGTGTTTATATTGCTGCACACATTTTAATATTCTTGATGATGGGCTTTTCCCTGGACCCTGCTGAAGTTGTTATGTAATATATACAATATGCAACATATTGCCATTCAAATTCTGAATTACAAGAAATATCTACCCCCAAGGGTTTTAGATAAAATGCTGTGACTCTCAATCATGTGCAGATGCCATGATTAGTCACAGAGAGCATTTTATAAATCAGATGTTTGCTACAATTAGTAAAAATGGTTACTATAACTGGCTGTAGCAAACCAAGCAAATGTTAAAATTATTTATTTATAGATCTGTCTACTCCCTGCATTGGTAATGTGCTCAAGGGCATGGCTTACATTCTGCTCACTTTTCTCACATTTGTGCTGCACATATTGCTTGGCAAAGAAAAAGTAAACTTAAACATTATTTTATTTATTTTATTATTATTATTATTATTTTTTTGAGACAGGGTCTCTGGCTGGACTGTAGTGGTGTGATCTTGGCTCACTGCAACCCCTGCCTCTTGGGTTCAAGGGATTCTCCTCCTCAGCCTCCAGAGTAGCTGGGATTATAGGCACGTGCCACCATGCCTGGCTAATTTTTGTATTTTTAGTAAAGATGGGGTTTTGCCACATTGGCCAGGCTGGTCCCAAGCTCCTTAAGTGATCTGCCCATCTCTGCCTCCCAAAGTGCTGGGATTACAGGTGTGAGCCACCACACCTGGCTGCAAACGTTATTTTAGAGAATAAGAGATGAACATAAAAGTAG